TCACAAACATCACCTATGGAGAGGTAACACACAACGCTGTAATAAGTTTTTTGGGACTAGTCTGTACAGGGTGTTTGTTCTGATTTTAAATAGGACGCCTGTATAATCGAAATGTACATAAACTGGTCTGGACACCTAATTATAAAAACTAAAAATTTAAAAAAAAAGCAAAAAGAAAAAAGTAGGCCATTGATGTGCTACATGTATGCTAGATTAATTTTCTATTTGCATTATGAAACATTGACTGAATGAAATAGTTTTTATCGACTTCATGGAGTATGCTTCCCACCATTTTCTCTCTTTTTTGTTGCTTGGAAACTAGTGAGCGTTACGCATTTGTATACATTAAATCACTAATTTATGCAAATGCAGAAGTTTCCGGTTAAATCACTTTGTGCCCACCATGTGGTGGTTTTTTGTGTTAGATTATATAATAACTACCGTGCGCAATTAAAAAAGGGAAAATTGGTCTAGGGTCCTTCTCCTACTTTTCGTAATGGAAGAGATCCACAAAATTATTTTTTGATTTCTAAGATCCCTAAACATATATCAGAGAAATTTCAATCCTTTATACTATCTTCATCATCTGACCCACCGCCACCCCAACAACCCGACTCTAAGTCCTCATCTTCCAACACTTCCCAAGCTTTACCCAGTGGAGATTCCCACTCCCAAACTCACCGATCTCACACCACTCTCACCCACCACCACCACCACCACCACCACTGGAATCTGACCCATCACCACCTCAAACCCACCGCCATTCTTACCCACAACCACCGCCTCCAGAACTCTTCCACCTCGCCGAGCTCCAACTCACTTCAGACTCCGATTCTGACTAACTCAACGCCCTCCACATGCTTGAACGCTGGCTCGTTCCGAATCCTCCCATAGCTGCCGCGACCGTGGACAGAGGCGATGAGGTGGCCTGTCCATGTCATGCTCGACACCCAGTATTTCCATGTCATCGAATATCTCTAGAAATAGATTAATCGGAGCAATGTTGTGGCAGAAGATCAGATGCGCTTCCGACCATTACTGTTGATGATGGATTGAGTTTAAAAACCAGAGAATTTCTCTGGTTTCAACCCAGAGAAAATTCAGTTTAAAAATCAGAGAATTTCTCTGGTAGACCCAAATCTTCATTACATACTATTTTTGCTGAATCTTCCTCCAATCCAAGCTTCCTAGACAAATCCTCCAGCAAACTTCTTCTCACGGTCTCTCATGTGTATATATATATATGTTGTTGGATTTGCAGGAGTTGATTAGTTCTAATCTGCTCTAGCTATTGTAGATACAGAATCTACAAAACCCCAAGAAATACCCCAATAGAATTTGTGTTATTATCTTAATGATTCAAAAATGTGAACAGTGTTATTTATAACCCTTTCCCTTATTAGGAAGTACTGACTACTATGCTACAATGTAGAAATAAATTTGAAGTACTTGGCTTTTGCTCCCAAATTGTTAGAAATGCATAAACTAAAATTCGCAACATGTAAAGCATAAAAAACTGTTGAAAAGCCCAAACTCTAACATAGTCTTGTCTGTATTGTGTGGTCAATTATGTATTTAATTGGCCAACTTCAGAAGCAAGCAAAGCTGAACGTACCTGCCTCTACTGCTTCAATGGAGGTTCGAGCTGAGAAAGCCCTTGAAGCTATTTATGTTTGCTGCTTCGGCAAAAATCCTATTGAAGAAGAAGATGAGAGATTATTATGTATCATGCTTAATGTCGTTTTTCCCTCCGTTGGGCAACAAGAGATGACAAGAATTGTAAAAGAAAAGGCAAGAAAAGTTGCAGAAGGCAGTGAAGAAGACCAAGTTCCAGAGCCAAAGCCCTTATCTAAAGAAGCTGTACAACTGCAAATGAAGGACCAATTTGAAAGGCAACCACAAATGGGACCACGGCGGCAAAGGCGGCCGCTGGAATCGGACTCGCCAACCACCACCCCTCTGCTTGATACCATCATATAATATGACATAAGTTCCAAAAATGGTGATCTCTTTGAAAACATTAGCCACCTCTTGATCACTGCCAAGCGCACCGCCGTCGCACTCCTCCGCCTTACTCCGCCGTATCGTTCTTCACCACCACTTTCTCTCTTCAAATTCTCACACTGACTTTCTCTCCTCCGATACTCGACCTCGACTCCATGATCGATCTGATTCTTCAAGCTGTTCTCAACATACTCTTCGCAGAAATTGAAACTCTTCGCAGGGTGAAGAACAAAAGAGGTTTGAGAATCGAAAAGTTTAGAGAGAGAGAGAGAGAGAGAGAGAGAGAGAGAGAGAGAGATGAGTTTTGATTTGTTAATGTCAAATTTCTCTGTGATATGTTTAGGGACCTTAGATATCAAAAAATAATTTTATGGATCTCTTCCATTACGAAAAGTGAGAGAGGGAACCTAGACTAATTTTCTCTTAAAATTTTGTTATATTTTAAATTAAAAGTTACATTTTCTATTTTGACATTATCCAATAAACTCTCTATTCTTTTTCTATATCATTCAAATATTATATTACATTTGTTGAGTCCAAATCACTAAAACTAAAATGACAAACTTGATAACTAATTTGATGAGAGTGAAATTTAGGTAACTATACACAGATTGTATCTATAATTATTTGTATGAGGGGATTTTAAATGCTGATCAGGGAATTTTGACCAAATCAATAAATGCAGGTATGTGAAAAGACATGTGGATTGAAAAAAAATTAATAAATGTTGATCAGGAAATTTTGACCAAATCAATAAATGCTGAGTTTTTTTTTTTTTAAATAAAAAATTTAGAAAATTCATATTGAGATATTGAATGTCACACAGGCCTTGGAGGTTAAAAATCCATTTTTGCTTAATATATAGTATAGATATTTAGGAATTTTTTTTATGCTTGTTCTTAATGCATTAAAATGTTATTATTAAGGGATATTAATCATATGTGTTGGAACTTTTCAAGAAATTCATATCTGTTGGACTTTTCAAGGAATTTTTTTTATGCTTGTTCTTAATGCATTAAATTGTTATTATGAGGGTAATGCTTGGGGGTTGAGAGAAGTTAATAAATGCTAAGGTTTTTTTTTTTTAAATCAAAAAATCAAGAAATTTAGATTGGGATATTGGAGCTCTCACAAGGCTTAGGGGTTAAAAACCCCATTTTGCTTAATATATAGTATAGATAGGTAATCGCATTTTAGTTGGACAATGTGAAAATAATTTAGGAGTGTTTTGGAAAGTTGGTAAAAAATTAATTTTTAGTTTTTTTATTAAGTTTTTTAACTTTTTTGAAAGTGGTTTAGGAAGTTGGTAAAAAGTTGATTTTTTATTTTTTAGTTTAATATTTATTTATGGTGTCAAATCAAATTAAAATGACCAAAATACCCTTATCCAAAATAAGAATTTTATTTTTTTATTTTTTATTTTTTTTCATAGGCTCTAATTTATAATTTTACACTTGCGTTTTTGGCACTTTCCAAACCACATTTGTTGCGTTTTTGACACTTGCGTTTTTTAACATTTTATCTAAAAACGTGGCTTTTTATTTTGTTCCCAAAATGGCACTTTAATTATGCAAGTTTTTCTTATGTTTGATTTGATGTAAATGTTTGTACTTATAGACAGTGTTTAATTTATAAATTTAGAAAATAATTTGATAAAAGAAATGAAAAAAATTTATGAAATTAAGTATAATGTAAGTATATTTTATTAAAATTTCACTGTCTTTTTTTATTTTCTTTTTTAAATTCCTTCTCAAATTGTTGAACCAAGCACAACCATAATATATTTTTTTTTAAGACTATCCCACCTATTTGTAATATCTTCTAATTATTAGGTACCTGGTGGTATTCCTATCAAATAAGGATTGTGTCAATGCTTTTTTACAATGGTTTATTTATTTATTTTTTATACAATAAAATGTGTCAATAAATGAATATTTTTATAAGTTGAAATCCCAAACTCACTTCTAAATATTTAGAGGTAAACTACTTAGAGTAATGCTCAAGTACTGCAAAATTATATGTTATATCATATAATTTTTAAAAAATTACACACCACAAGCAGTTAAATCCTAATTCTAAGAGAATCTTATCCATTCCTATGTGGTATCTTTCTCAATGTTGAATAGATGAAATGATGTTTATCCTAATATTTTATCAAACAACATAGAGTAATTATTTGATAATTTCAAAAAATTATATAACATTATTCATTTAATACTCGCGATTAGTGATGTAGCCTAAAAATTTGATTACTAAAATTATATTGATAGACTTTTGTTAAATAATAATTAAGAAAATGAATAACATATAATCATTTTGCAATTGTTGATTTGTCATGATACACCAAAATAGCATCTAATAGATTTTTAATAATATTATGAATGGCATTTACAGATTAATTTGAGATTTTGTGCAATCCTGATGAACACATTAATGTCGCCAGATATCCGCCTTGTTTGGTTTACTTTTGAGAGGGTAATTTTAGAAAAAGAATTTCAAAATTTTATTTGATTTAGTAGTTTTAGAAAAAAATTTACAAAATCATTTTTTCTCACCTACGCATCAATCAATTATTTTTTCTCTATCCTCTCTCCTTCTCAATCACTTTTTCTCTCACACATATCTAGTCAATTATAATAAAATATCAAATCATTCCAAACTCCCATACTCCAAAACTATTTTTAAAATATATAATCAAACAAATCAAAAAAAAAAATTTAACTCTCTTTTCAATTTTTTTTTTTTTAAATTTTATCTCCTAGAATCAAACCAAAGACACCCTCTTTATATTTAATATTTTTTTTCTATTTCTTTTTTTTGTTTATAGTTTACCTATTGTCAGTGCTCTTAACAAGGAGCGCATTGCGCGCTGTGAGAAAGTACATTACCGAACATTTGTTGAATTGACTATTCTACGAACAATTTGTCCAACCAGCAAGACAAAATAAATAAATAAATAAATAAATAAAATAAAATAATAACAAAAAAAGGAAATGTATATCCAAAATAAAATATACTACTTCCATTGCATTGCATTTACACAAACCCATTTCCAAAACCAAAAAAAATCTTGATCAAAAAAACATACACCGTTAGATGTATATATATATATATATAAGTACACTGCTTTTTATCTATCTCCGGCCCCGGTACGACCGAAAGGTACAAACGGAGCCGGCTCGTAGGAGAAGGGCGCCGCCGGGTGCTGCCACTTCTTGAACACTATCGGCTTCGCAGGCTCCTGTTGATTATTACAAGATTTCATCTCCACCGTCAGATCATGCGAAGTCGGCGACGTGATCAACGGTGACAAGAGGGGAATCGCAGCCTTCCAATCTGCCGGTCTGATCTGTATCGACGCCGGTGCCCGCCGTTGAAGCCTGCTCGACTGCTTCCGGTTGCCTGAACTCCTCATCTGTGTTTCCGCCATATATTCAAATGGATAGATAGATCGTCGGAGTCTGGAGGAGAGAGTTCAGATGAATTGTAGAGAGAGAGAGAAAGAGAGAGAGATATTTAGAGGAAATTGTGTGCTGCAGATGAAACAGAGGGCTATGATGATGTATATATAGTGGGCGTGTGGGGAACACGTTTAGGAAGGTATTTAGGGAAGCGGTCAACAGATGAGGGGTTACACGGCTCGGCCTTTTTAGGAAGCTGATTGTTGACTGATGAAACAAACTCGGTAAAAATTTCCAATAAATATTATTAGTAATCCCGTTTGACAAGGCTATCAGTTTTTCTATTTTGTTCAAGATGTTAAATAAAATTACGGTAATTATAATCATATTTTCTGAGATTTTTTTAAAATATAAATTGTTCAATATAATTTAAAAAATTATAAATATTTTTTATTAAAATTTTTTATTTAACAGAATTACTTAAAAAAAATAAAATTTGCAAATGCTCTTCCATATAATAATAAAATTATTTAAATTATTAATTAAAACAAATTTATGACATCATTAAAAATTATTAATTGACTTAATGATTTATTAACGAAATGGGTCATTTGATATAAAATTACAAACTTTAAGGGTGAGACATAATTTTTAAATCACAGAATACAAATTGTATTTTAAACAAATCTCAAGACTTGTATTTATAATTTATTCAAAAATTATTAAATATTTACATTGGTGAAGATCCATATCATATGAAATTTTCAGCATTTTTAACGGGCGAAGGCCAATAGAGTTAGTTAACGAAATGTTAACAAAGGTCACATGGTGATTGAATGCTCGTTAAAATATGGCCAAAAGTTACAAATAGTGAATCCAATCACCAAAGTGGCTAGAAGGTGGTCGGACCTCACCAAGAGGTTGCTAGTAGTTAACAAGGGGTGGTAGGGGCCAGTGGTCAATGGCAATAAATGGTGGTGGCATGTAATGGCGGAGTTAAAAAATTAAATCAGAAGAGATAATTTTTTATTATAACTTTAATTTTTATTTTTTTCATAGCCAAAAATAAAAAGATAATAACAATTTTTGAATTAATATTAAGTATAAAAACTTAAATAAATTATTACAAAAGTATTTCACATAAATTTTTATAATTAATTTCGAGTAAAATCAAAAAAAATATATTACGTATAACTAGTGTATCATGAACAATGTAAAAACAGTCATATGTTTAAGTCTTAAAATAAATTATATAATGGTAAGATAAATCAAATTTTTACACAATTTTAATAAAAATTTCATATAATAGTGATATCACGTCGTTATTGACATATGATATTACCAACTAATAGTAAAGTAACATATGAAGGGTAAACTCCATATGTAAATATAACTAACACTCTTAGTAATTTTTACATATATATAGTGAGATTAATTATATTGTATATCAATAATGATGGATATTATTTTTATATTGAGATTTTTTCATAAAATTTTCATACATAAAAATATAATTTGTTATAGTCACTTCATTTTCAATAAAACAATCACTATTGTTTTTATAAATTTAAAAATGTCATTGACATTTTATTCTAAATATTATTTTTGTTTAAAATTTTAATACATATGTAAAAAAAATAAAAAAAATCTAAGGGGGCGCGTGACCGCCTAGGCTCCATGTAGCTCTGCCACTGGTAGCATGTGGAGTAGGAAGGGAGGAAAGTGAAATTTTATTTTATAAACAAATAAAAATGGAAGTGGCTTCCATTCAATTCTATGAGACTGGAGAGTATTGTTGGACCTGTGAGGACTCACCACGGATCCCGTTAGGATAATTCGAACCGTTCAATATATAGAACTCGTCGAGTATTATATATGGCTACAAAAATCACAAATGTAACGCCCTCAAAATAATAGATAAAACCCATCTCATTAGACATGCATTGATATAAAATAAGTTAACCATTTCTATTTATCAGAGTAATTCTACAACTGTATTACATGTTAACAACAAAAGCAAATGCCCTGAGGGCTTACAGCTTTCCAAGTTAACACTTGGATACAAAAAGAAGAGTACTAACTCAATACATATTAAGCCCTTGGCTTGAATTTACATGTAATACATCAAAATAAATAAAAGAAGAGTCTTCAACTCTCATCAACATCCAAGCTATGTCCTTGGAGGTGGCATACTACCTGTACCTGAAAATAATGTCCCATAAAGGGTGAGCCAACGCCCAGTAGAGATATGCTAAACACAGTATGAACAATAACTAAGACATTAGCAATTGATAAATGTTCAGTTTCCATAAACCAATTCATAACTCAGTCTCATTTCATTTCAGTTTCCATTTCTTATCAATTTCACAATTCACATCAACGGCTCAGAACCTAGCAAATCCTTTATATGAGACAATGATTCATATTAAACATTTCCCATTTTTCAATAGATGAACATATTAGTTGTATCAACATTTCAACAGATAAGCATATAAGCTGTATCCACATTTCAACAGATATGCATATTAGCTATATCAACACTTCCAATGACAAGCATATGAGCTGTATCAACACTTCCAATGACAAGCATATGAGCTGTATCAACACATTATCTGACAAGCATATGAGCTGTATCAGTGGAGTCCATCCCCTATCTCCTCCCAAACAACATCCGGTTTAGAGGTCCATCCCCTATCTTCCCCTAAACCGTGGAGTACATCTCATATCTCCTCCCACACACACAATGTATATACACAAAGGTCATATACACAATCAATCAATACATAACGTTAATGTATTCTATCAACCGTCATACTCTATGACATAACCAAGTGATTAGTTTTAGTTTGCCTAATCATCATGTATTGTCTACAACAATCAAAACTACCCTCCACCGGTAGCCCAAGCAATTATTTCTAAATAGATAATAAAAGTTTCAACAGATAAAAATATCAATGTTTTCAAAAGAGAGCGATTTATAAATCCAACTCCATCATTTCACAACATAATGAGCCAATTTCATTATTTCCAACTCAATTCCGTGAGTCTACAGATTTCCCCAAATTAATTATACCAATTAATTTATTCAACCAAATTAGGGTTTTCTACCCCATTTTTCAATATTGACCCAATGGTCTAAATATCAACAACCAACATCAATAACACCATTTGAAACCCAAAATACATATTGGTCTCGTTTGGGAAGTGGCTATTTTAGTAGGTTATTTTAGTTTTTGACTATTTTAGTAGGTTAAAATTTTTGTGTTTGGGAAGATGATTGGATTTTTTTGTGGTTGGATGTTATGTTTGTGAGAGAAAAAGTGAAATGATTATAGGTTTGATGTGATATTTTGTCTTATTAGCTATTTTAGTCTATTTTGTCTTTTTGTGAAACCCTAAGTTCCAAAATTTCCTAAATTCAACACTTCATCAAAACAACTAAAAATCTAGGTCAAAGACCATAAGAGTGAGTAGGAACCCCTACCTCAAAGATGAGACCCAAAGAAGAAGATGGTGAAAACGAAGTTGCTCCAAACCACAAGTTCCTCGGATTAAAAGATAGCCCTCGATGATCAACAACCTTTTTGTAAAGACCAAAGGTGAGGAAAACACCTTAGCTAGATCAATATCTAGAGAGAAGGCAAGGTTTTAGAGAGAGAGGCTCTCAAATGGCCTTTTCGGAAAAGTAAGAGAGAGAAAGGGTGAGAAAAAGTGATTTAAAACTGCCCCACAGTCAACTGATATACGACATTCCCGCTCGAGCGGAAAACACAACGCTCGAGCGTCAAGAACAAAAACTAGGTCCGCTCGAGCGCAAAAAGGCCCGCTCGAGCGCCAAGACACAAGAATAAAGTAAATCCGCTCGAGCGCGAAGACCAGTCCGCTCGAGCGTAGATTTCCCCCTCCCAGAACTTACACCCAAAGGTACTACCCGCTTGAGCGCCAAAGTACCCGCTCGAGCGCCACCGCTCAAGCACAAAGAAACTCGCTCGAGCGTGAAAAACACACCTGTAGAAGTTTTGCAGGGACACGAAAAACTGGGAGTGTGCAATCTCCGCTCGAGCGCAAGAAGACCCGCTCGAGCGGACCTCCTAAAATCTGGGCAACAAAGAATTGAAACCAAAGCCAAACCAACCTATAACAACTCTACCCAATACATCCTAAAACGCAATCAAGTGGAATTAAAGGATGACAACAAGGTGTACCACTACCAACATCACGGAACTGAGTCCGGAATACAACAAAACAGCAAAGGGACAACCGGGATCGCTATAGATCGAATATCGATAGCTATCTCATCGGATTAATTTTCTGTCAACCCTCTATTTTTTTTTACAAAACTGATTTGATCACATACCTATCGATATCCGATCAATGTGATTTTTTATAAGCATATAGTACTCGACGAATTCTACATATTAAATTGTTTGGATTATCGAAACAAGACCCATGATGGGCTCCCACAGGCGCAACAGCACCCTCCAATACTGGAGGGAAGCCCGGCCAAATGAAAATATACAATTTTTTTTCATTTTCAAATTTTTTAAAAAAGTCCCTTGGTATTATCAAAAGTTTGGACCTGTGTAGTAAAAATATTAACTTAAAAAATGTAAAGTAAATTATGTTGACCTCCACCAAGATTTAAAAAAAAAAAAAATTTATATTGATTAATGAATTATTGATGAAATAAATTAAATATTATGTGAATTAAACTTTTAAAAAATCTAATATAATTATGTCAAATTTATAGAGCTTACTATATTTTTCTTCAAACTTTAAAGGAGGTTAGTGTAATTTATCCAAAAAAATATTTAAATCCCAACTTTTAAAAAAAAAATTCTTTAGAGTTTATCTTGAGGTTAAAAGCAAATAAAAGGGATATGATTCTGAGCAATATTTTTTCTGCAATAATTTGATGATAGTATTTTGGGCATAAAGCATCTACTTACATTACCACTAATATGTTTTGGGTTTAAACTACTCACCTAATTAACCATTACAAGGCTATTGCAAGGGTGATTATGGTAAAAAAATATATATATATAATCTACCAATCAATTTTACCAAACGGTCTATCTTTTTCGAAGTATAATTACTAAATATATTTTAAATTTGAAGCTAAATGAGCACCTATCTAACAAAATTGATTTGTAACTTTTTTACTTAGATTTTAAATTCATAGAATTAAATAATTGTAATTTGTTGTTTGGTAATTTTTTTCATATTATAGTTTATTAACTTCTTCAGCTCAAAAAGTTAAAAACTAATCGTTATGAAATTTTTTTTTTTAAGATAGGGAATTAATCCAACAAAAAAACAAAAAAGCAAAAAATCTAGAGCCGAGCCATAATCCCAGCCAACTACACCGCTCCGTCAAAACCAATCGTAGCCCAAAGTTCGGTGCATTTTGACGCTTCCGTAACCGACCTTTTATTTCGTACCCCTGGGTTTTGACCGAAAGCACACGGATGCTTCAAACAGACGTTTACTCCGCCGTTATATATAATTCTGACTCTGCCCACGTGGTATCCAGTGACCAACCATTCTAGTGTGATGGACGGATCAGATTCAGTAACGTGGTCGATTAGAGTCCATGAACCAACAAGAGGAGAAATGAGGTGGACGCAAATTAGGATGGCATTTGTAGATCTCTGTTGTCTGCTTCTGACTTTTTACAATATATAAGATTTTTCAAAACAAAATACAGTCTGTTTGGTTTGAGTTTTTTGGATTAAAATTTTTTAAAAATTGATTTTTTTAATTTTTATACTTTTTTGTTTTTAGTGAATATTTTTTAAATTTTAAATATTTTTTTTTATTTTTTTAGATTCACCTTATTTAGATGTATCTAAAAAATAAAAAATTTGTGAAAAAAAAGTAAAAAATTTGTAAAAAAATATTTTAAAAAATTAATAAATACATAAAAATACAAAAAATGTACTGAATTGTTGTATTTTTTTTGTATTTTTGGTATGTAGTGAATTTTTAAAAGATTTTTTTTACAATTTTTTTATTTTTTAGGTGTATTTATGTTAGGTGTGTCTAAAAAGTAAAAAAATTGCTTAAAATATTTAAAAAATTTAGTAAAAATAAAAAAATACAAAAAAATAAGAAAGTAAAATTTTCTGAAAATTGTTTTTTAAAAAATAGAAACAAGCATACGTAGTCAAAGATTTTAGTGTCATTTTCTCTAGAATATTCAGATATCATTTTCCTGAAACATTTTTTTTTCATTTTCCCAAAACATTTTTTTTTTTTTTTTTAAATTTAAGGAAATTAGAAGAGCTAATAACACGGATCACTTCTTTGATTGAAATTACTTACAATTACAGCCACTCCTTCACTGTCCTCCCATGTCAAAGTTGTAGTTGTGGTGAGATTTTTCTATGCACTGAAGCCTTGTTTTGCACAAGAATCAAAGAATTTGTGTTTGTCGGATAAGCACTTCGTTGGTTGGCTTAGGTAGTGCAGAGATTAGTGTTACGTATCTCTTAATGTTTTTGGTTGAAAAGTTTGAGGAGAGTTTTGAAAAGAGAAATAAAAAAGATAAGTGAAATATAAATAAAATATATTTAAATTTTATTTAATTTTATATATATATATATATATTTTAAATTTTTTTTTTTCAAATCTTTCAATCAAACACAACGTAATTTTTTTTAAAGAAATTAACATAAAATTTAAAATATCGAGTTCGGTTAGTTTGTTATTTTTTTAATTACTTTAGTCTGGTTAAAAAATTTATATTTAGAATGATAGTTTTTTTTTAAAGTTGATTTGATGATTGTGAAAAAAGAAATAAAATAATTATGATTTACACGTGACATTTTATCATTTTGACTATTTTAATTTATTTTGTCTTTATTAACTATTTTTGCAAAAGAAAGCTCTCCAACGGAACTTTTCAAACAATCCCAAATATAGGAATGTAAGAAAAATAAAATAAAATAATTGACTAAATCGATTGAATCCAATTGAACCGGTCATGTTTAATATTTTTTTAAAAACAAGAATTGATTTGTATAGTTATTTAATTTGATTTTTTCGATTTTGAGTTCAGTACTGATTCAAACACCTTGTGTATTGAACCAAACCAAATCTAACTGCTTCAACACATATTCTAGTTATACTATATACACATAATAACAATATAATGATATTAATAAGTATTATCTAAGTTAGTAAACTCTTATTATATAATTTTAACTATAACTCATTATTCTTGAACTCTTAATATTTATTACTATTTTTTATTTATATTTTTGTTAATCTAGAAATTAGAAAATATTTATTAAATGGATGGATTGAATATGTTTGAAGTGGTGGACAAATGGCTAATTCAATATTTTTACATAGAAGATTTTAGACCGATTAAACCCATACTGTTTCAATCAGTACGGTTTAATGGGAGAAATAGTCTATATTAGTACTCAAAATAATAAAATTAATATTATTGATTCAATAAAAAATTTTACCTAAATACCGACTGTACTTAATTGATTACATCCCTACTAAAATATATTTATCAATCTTACTTAAATATTCATGGTGACTTTGAATTGTATTGTAGGCTGTTCTTTTTCTATTTACAACACTTTGTGTCATTTTATTGATTCAGAGGGCCAAGTTTGGGAAGACTAAATAAGTACATTTTTTGATTTTTTTTGTATTATGTGTAAAAAAAGTAGAGAGGATATGCTGATTGATGTGACCCAAAAAAGATAAAATCATAAAAAGATAAAATAAGTGCACTTTTTTAGTTTAGCCAAACTTGGCTGTTATACCCTTTATGGTGGCACGAGTTGGAGTGGGTAATATATTAGATAAATTACAAGCAAGAATTATAATTTAAAAAATAATAAATAGTCATAATTATGTAAATTAAACAAACTCAACAAATACAATAAAGCCTCCGTTTGGAAAATGGGTTGACTTTTTGACTTTTTTGGCTATTTTAGCCTGAGCTAAAAAGTTTGGTTTGTGAAGTGCTTTTTGACTTTTTGGCTTTTTTGGCTTTTTTTGTGAGAGAATAATGTAATTATTATGGGTTTGATGTGATATTTTATTTTTTGGGGCTAAAATAGCCTATTTTGTCTTTTGTGGCTAAAATAGAAAAAAAAAACCCCGTTTAGCTCTTGCCAAGCGGAGCCAAAATCTGAAACAAATCTTTTGGGAGTTAGCTGAAAAATTAGCTTATTGGTTAAAAATAAACCTACAAAAAATGTTAATTTTTTGGTACATTTTTTTTTTTTTTTTTTTACTTTTCTAAATAGACATTTGTAATCTTTTCTCCTTGTAATTGATCAACATCTTCGTTTAACTTCATTCGCTTTCAATCAAATTTTATTTTTCTATGTTCAATAATACGAAACAAACTTAATTTTTTAATTTTGAATCTCCAAATTATAAAGTGATTTCAATCTTTATCTTCAAGAAAGAGAAATCTAAATAAATTGGCTATAATAATTATAATTTTACATTACTTAAATTGGTTCTTCATATTGAGCAATATTTTTTAATGTCATTTGATCACAAAATTCATATTCATTATCACTGTCTATAAACACTGTCATTATTCAATTATTTAAATTTTGTTAATTATAATTAACGAATAGTTAAAATTAATGTTATTTTAAAAATTAAGAATTTAAATTAAAATAATTTTAAAAATATATATTTAATTTGTTACTCAAATCAAACCTAAAGGTTTATTTTTATATTTTGGGCAAATTACATATACACCCCTCCAGGTTTGACAAAATTACAGATGCCCCCCTGAGGTTTGAGAAATTACGAATTTCCCCCTGAATGCTATATTTGCATAAGAAATTAGGGGGTAATTTGTTATGAAATATAAACCTCAGGGGGCAAATTGTTATGAAAATACAAACCTCAGGGGGCGGGATGTAATTTCCGAAACTTCAGAGGGGTATCTGTAATTTAACCATACCTCGAGAGGGTATATGTAATTTGCCCTTTATTTTTATATTTTTACCAAATTTTCATAGTACCTAAAATTGTTGTTGGATAAATAAATTCATGATAAAGCGACAACCCCCAACAATTTTCTCAACAAATCCGCCCGTATGGGCCATGCATATCCCATCCGAACGTCATTGGTGTTATCAACTGATGTCTCATGTGAGCTCGCCGCAGGGTATCCAAATCCCAATCATTTATCTTCTGACAACACTGCGCACCAACTAAAAAGCGACGGAACATTGTACCACCATGTGCACGTTAGAGAAGCGCGGCAACATCTTCTTCTTGACTCTCACAGGCGACGATGAGCATCGCCTGAACCCTACCCTCATCGGCTCGCTCCGATCGGCTCTGCGCGAAGCACGGGAGCAATCGACTAGCGGCTCGGCTCTCATCACCACCGCTCGCGGCAAGTTCTTCTCCAACGGTTTCGACCTCGCCTGGGCCCAATCCGGCGGCTCCCCTTCCGCAGCCCGTGATCGGCTTCACCACATGGTCGTTTTATTCAAGCCGGTGGTGGCGGACTTGATCTCCCTCCCGATGCCGACGATCGCCGCCGTGACGGGCCACGCCGCCGCCGCGGGGATGTTGCTCGCGATGAGCCACGACTACGTGCTCATGAGGAGTGATAGAGGCGTGCTGTACATGAGCGAGCTGGACATAGGGATGACTTTTCCGGACTACTTCACGGCGATGGTGAGGTCGAAGGTGGGATCTTCGGCGGCGCGTAGGGATGTGTTGTTGAAGGCGTCGAAGGTGAGAGCGGCGGAGGCGGTGGCGATGGGGATCGTTGACTAGGCGCACGATAGCGCGGAGGGGGTGGTGGAGGCTGCGGTGCGGCTGGGGGAGGAGTTGACCAAGAGGAAATGGGATGGAGAGGTGTATGGACCAAGAAGAAATGGGATGGAGAGGTGTATGGGGAAATAAGGAAATCACTATATCCAGAGCTATGTGGCATCCTAGGATTGGCTGTGTTGTTGAAGGCGTCGAAGGTGAGAGCGGCGGAGGCGGTGGCGATGGGGATCGTTGACTCGGCGCACGATAGCGCGGAGGGGGTGGTGGAGGCTGCGGTTCGGCTGGGGGAGGAGTTGACTAAGAAGAAATGGGATGGAGAGGTGTATGGGGAAATAAGGAAATCACTATATCCAGAGCTATGTGGCATCCTAGGATTGGCTGATAAAGTTGTAACAGCTTCTTCAAAGCTTTGAAGTATGAAAATTGTTTTCTATGATTTATGAAATTGCGTTGGGGAAATTTGGTTACAAAGTTTGATTGTGACCTAATTTTGGAAGTGGTGTATTACAATGAAGTGAAAATAAAGACTAATGCTATATGTATCAATTAGTTCATTCATTATTATATCAATAGATGATATGACATAATTTAAAATATTTTTAGTATTTATAATTTGTATAATAATAATGTCATAATTAATGTTAGTATATTAGTTAGTGCACTAATTAGTGTATGTAATACCACTCCAAAATAAATAAAAGATCCGTTTTGGGCAAGGGATGTATAACAACCCATGATTTGTATTGTTAGATCAGGGAACAAATTTGAGTTTGTCACGTGCATTAGATTGACATTCTTTGTTTGTTTGATTTCATGCACGCATTGCCCTAACCTATGATGATAATTAGAATCAAGTGAAGACTGGATTTTAATAAAAGAACATCACAGTATGTTATTAGAGTGAATTTAGAGACTCCGGACAGAAAAAAAGTTCAAATTTTGAATCAGAAAGTGAAAATTAATGTAGCTAAAATTAAACTAGTGTAGAATTTGAATCACTTATTGATGATTATGGTTAATATTCTGACAAAATTCTAGGAATCTTTAGCATGACTAATATTATTATCCATGACATTGAATTACAATCATTGAAGGGGGCACGGGGCATTCCAACATACTTTTATTTTTAATTTTTTTTTATCTAACACAAGTTGTTTTAAAAAAAATTCCTAAATTTAGATTTAGTTTTAAACCTTATTTTCAAATTCAAGATTTCATGAATTCGTATTTAAAACACTTAAGAGTTGAAGTCTTGTTTCAATAAAATCATTTAAAATACAAACTACTCATATGGTTTTGAAAATTACAAATATTTTTTTTATGAGAATTTGTCATTTAACTTAGTTAACATAAAAAATGAAATTCCTTAACTTCCCTTCTATACAAAATGATATTATCAAAAACTATAAATTAAAATATATTGTTGACATCATTAAAATTGTTAATGAAATAATGACCAATTAATAAATGAGGTAATTTGTTTTACAATTAAAATTAAGAGATGAGATGTAATTTAGTAACCATAAGTGACCAAATTTTAAACAAATCTTAGAGAATACATATTTGTAACTTATCTAAATTTTTATATAAAATTATGGGCTAATTATGGGCTTATTGTAATTCATTTGTTTAATAACATAATGCCCATAAATAAGTCAAGCTAAGTTTTATAAGCCTCGAGAAATATGGGCTTGTTGTAATGCATTCATGTAAAAACATAAAGCCTATAAATCAAGCTAAGTGTAGACACCTCATTTTTGACCGACCTTAAGACTCAGACGTCACCGATTGAGCGCTTGGTGATGTTGCATATCGTGCTCGTTCAGAAGTTTCAGAATCTCAGCTGCGAGCCTTGCCTCCGGACTTCCGGACTCTTTTGTGCTTTGCCTTGGTTTGCGAACCAGGCTCCGTTTTCTCTGTTTTCTCTTCTCGAAGGGAGGGAGAGGTCCCGTAGATCATCTCTCAGTGGCTGTAGGCTACGTTTCATGGTCGTAGGCCATTTTGCCCGATTGGAGTCCGGTTTCTGGTTTTTCGGAGCTGTTGGCCGTGTGCCTCGGTTCGGGACTGCTTAACCACCTCCGTTTGCTCCGATTTTTGGCATGCATCTTATTTACTCCCTTTTGAGGGACACTGTAGCTCGAGAAACCAACTTCGTGGTCGAACACCACTCCCGGTGCCTAACAGCCAGTTTTTGGGGCCTCGGGTTGCGCGTTTCGGCCCCCGAACCTTCATTCTGCATCGGTTTGGGTTCATTTTTGGCAGGGACCTCTGTTTCATTGGTAAAAAGGCCGTAGAAGGGTGGGAGGCCAGTAATTGTTCTGACAGCCAACTTTATCCTTTCATCGCCCTCCGTCGCCCGTTTTTCTCACTTCAAAGCCAATGTTGACCACCCTTGGGCCATTTTCTGGAACCCTAAATCCCATATTTGTGATATACACATCTGGGAGGCCACCAATATTTGGTGGCCGGCCAGTAATTGCTTTTGAACCTTTTGAACCCCTTTGAAAAGTGGGTTGTTCTCTCTCCTGGTTCCCTATCTCTAGTTTTTGACCACATGATTGTGTTGAGCACACATGGGAGGCCACCAATATGTGGTGGCCGGCCAGCAATTGTTCTTGGACCTTTTGACCCTTGACCGGCCGGCCATGGGAAGAGCCGGCCGGCCACCTGCAACCTCAATAACCAGCCGGCCATGACCCCCTCCACTGATACAGTTCAAATATGTATCTCTTTTCCCCCCAGATTTTGTATCCGAGGAGCCAACTTTTTGGGGGGAAACTTGAATTGTTTTCCCTCCCATTTTTCCCCCCTTATCTCCCCCTCTTTTGCCTATAAAACCAGCCTTCCAGCTCTGTAATAAGGGTTAGAAAAATCACCTTTGAGCTCCCATATTGTATCTCTCTCCCTCTACACTTCCAAGCTTCAAACCTCTCAAGTCCTACACCCATTTCTTCACCAACCCATAGCCCCACCCTTCCATCCTCTATTCCAGCAGCTTGAGGTTGTTCTTCAGAGCCTAGGAGTGCTGCATTTTAGTCCAAAAGGCTGTCAAAGAGTAGTCTTCAAGGGTAAGTCCTCTTCTCCCATTTTTGACCATTTTCTTGGTTCATACTCTAGCTCCTTGTCCTTACTTTTTTTAGCTCCGACCCTAACTGAAAATAGCATTTTTTTGAGCTCTATTTCATGTTTGTTTAAGGGCCTCTTACTGTTTGAGGCTTCCTTGTGGCACTTGCTTCTTTACCTTTCTTTTATGCCATCTCCTTGCATAGTATTTTAGGCCTATGTATAAACTGTTTTGAGCTCTGTCATAAACTGTAAAACGGCTTATTTGGAGCCCTTCTTCAACATTGTTGAAGGGCTAATCACTGTTTGAGGCTTCCATTTGCCACTTGCCTTTGTATCTCTCTTTTGGCTCCATTTTTGCATGATTTGTTTGACTCTTATTCTTCTCTTTTTGGGCTCTGGTCCGAACTATAAATGACCTTATTTTGACCCCCTCTTCATGTTTCATTAAGGGCATTTTACTATTTGAGGCATCCTTTTTGTACTTTGTGTTATAGCTCTCTTTTTGGCCTTGTTTTGCATAGTATTTTGAGCATGCTTGTGCACTGTTTTGGGTTTGATAATAAACTGTAAAATGCCATTTTTTGGGTCCCTCTTCAACATTATTGAAGGGCCCTCTCTTGTGTGGGGTCAGCAGCTGTGACTTGCTTTTTTATCTCACATTTAGGGCCATTTTCGCATGCTAGCTTAGCCCCATTTCTGTTCATTGTTTGGCCTTTCTTAAAACTCTAAACATGCTTGTTTTGGGGCTGCCTTGAATCTGTCTTCACATTTTATGATCAAATAGTGCATGTTTTGTATAGCTATAGGCCATTGCGCATGCCTAGTTTTGCATTTCGGGTGCCATTCCATGCATCGGGTGCCATGTTTCCGTGATTCGGGGCTGTTTTGGGTCATATTTTAGCGTTAAAATTTGCATGTTTTCATACCATGTTTCATGCCTTGCCATGTCTTGTTAGAGTGGCATTTGGTGCCTTAGGGTCGGTCCTCGGTTTGCGTGCATGCGTGCACGCATCTCGAGTGTCTTCATTTTCATCTCATGGCCACTAATGTGAGTGTGGCTGAGGTCCACTCA